GGGGGAGAGAAATGAGTTGTCATGAATTCATAATTTGGTGTTGGTTTTTTTTACCACAGGAACCTCTTCCTTTCCATTTTGAGCCACCATTCCGCCCGAGAGTTCAAGCTGTGGGTAAGTCTTTTTCCAATTCACCCCCTTGCCCTTCTTACGATCGCTCAGTCATGATTCTTTTCGGAAAGAAGCTGGAAAGGGGGTGGGAGTGAGAACAGATCAACGTTGACTTGTCAATATGACCTTGTTCTGTTCAACTGTTGAATATTTTCCTTGCTTCCAAGCATCGGGATCTCAGGCAGAGACTACTTTATTTGTCATGGAGAGTTTGTTAAACTTATTTTACTTGAAACACAACAAAGCAACAGGGCACTCTTGTGCTTGATGTCATTAGTGTGAGCCAGTTTCACAGTTGTGATAAGGCAGTACGGGATGAAAACATTGTTCTCCATTAGGCCTCTGCGTAGTGGATGCCGCATTATTTTATCCTAGACTGTGCACTGTGACATACTTCCGGTCTACTATAGAGCGCACCATTGAACCAAAGATGTAGTAGAGAATCTTTGATTGAACTCTATTTGGAACCAAATGTGGGGTAACGGCGGGGGGAAAGGTTGCCGGTGCCATCGACTGTAGCGGAACTGGCGTTTTACCCTTCATTTAGCGCAGCGAAATTTTTTGTACATATAGAGAAAAGCGTGCGGCCATAAGTGGCCGGCGATCTAGGATAATATAATAGTATTAATAGCCTACAAGTCTCTGGTGTGACCTCGTCATAACCCCACGCTATAAAGTCACCTCAATCACGGACACATTCTGGGGGTACTGGTACTGTTAGTTGGTCCACAAATGTTCCTGGGTGTTATTTTTGTTGATTATTTCACGTATTTCGTTGACCGAGTAGATATAGCTGATGATAATAATATTGTGTGTGCGGCTAGATTATATTTCTCTGGAAAGGCAGGTGGTTGGAGGGCGCCACGGGTAGGTCTTGCTTTTAAACTTTTCATCTTGTGTTTTTGTCTCTGTGTGCACTGTGCAGTGCATGCAACGGTTCTCTACTATTTTTGGTGCATGTGTGTCTCCCCCCCTCCCCCTTATCTAAATGCACAGTTAGGCCTACTGTGTCAATGCGCTTCTCTTTACTCTAACTCAAAATTCTACTCCAACTCCTGCTTTTGTAATCTGTAGGCCTAAAGGTCATTATTTTAACATGAAGTTTAAGTCTTATTTCTGTTCCAGAATACAAAAAGCGTGTGGTGAGACTGGTGGTCAACCTCAAGGCACCGCCGGCAGAAGCCGGGAATAGCACCATGCCCCTCCCATGGGGAGAGATCGCACAAAGGATGGGGCTGATAGTAAGTCCTTTAGGGGGCTGCCCAGTTTGTCACAGGTCCAGTTTGTCACAATTTCATTTAAGTGTTTGAGTATGAATAGCAGTTATAATTACAGCACTTTAACACTGTAGTTATAACTTCAGTTTTTTATTCTCCCCCTTCAAATTGGTGGTGTAGAGATAGTCCCTCTAAAATGTCAACTCAGCGTGTATTGTTCAATATTTCTAACCTTTTTGTATGCAAATCAAAGCAAATTTAAATCACTCTGTAAAATTTCAACAATTTCTTTCATTAAAAACAATTGAAAAATAAAATTGCTCAATTCATACAATCAAACAATCATTCATTTACTCTTTTTGAGAGCGTCAGTGATAACTTCCATCATGCAGGGCACAATCAAGGCCTGTGACAAACTGGGCCTGTGACCAACTGGGCCTGTGACCAACTGGGTCTGTGACAAACTGGGTCTGTGACAAACTGGCATGCTTCCGTCCTTTAAACATACAAATCCTGGATTTGGATTACTGATTTTTTTAGAATGTTATAAGTAGAATTGGTTTGGTTTTGGATAAGACAGAAGAGGGTAGCCTATTGACAGTCAGTATATTAGTGCTTGTTGAGCTCTTGTAGAGTTGTTGCTTGCACTGGCTGCCCCCCAGGATGTTGAGAATGTTTCAGAATGTTATAGGTTCTGCCGTGGTGATGATAAGATGTCTAGCACATAGGATCTACAGTACTTCAGTTAAGTTATGTGACACATGGATGCAATTTATTAGTATTATTATTGTTAAATGCTATGCTTAATGGAAGCAAAAGCTCTCTTTTTCCACTTTTGCTGAAAAATTTTGTGTTAGTCTTGAGGCCTGATGAAGGGTTATTTCTTTTTTTAAACTTCATGTAAATCTTAAAAACAGATTCAAAAGACAGATATACAAACAATTACTTCAATTAGCGAGAAGGTTTTATTTTTGGGGTCCAATTTGATAATGTTTTAGTAGGCCTATAGTATGTCCTTTCCATACAGTTAACAGATTGATGTCATAATTGTGTTTCAGGCCACAGAGAAATTTCAACAACTTCCTGGATTTCTAATGGCAGAGTTTTTCTATATGGGGTATGTTGTACCTGATAAATGCTAAGCAGACAGCAAGAATAAATAATTTATTAAAGTTTAAATTTATCATCTTTTTGGTCTCATGAATAGCCCTCTAAATGCATTCACCCCTGCCTTCAGTTGTCTTCTATTTCCAATCAAATCCAAGGAGTGTTGGCTAGTTCATTTCTTATGTTCCTATTTCTTCTCACCAAGTATTTCTTGACGTGTTTAAGTGAAGACTTCTTTGACCTTGGTCCAGTCATGTGCCCCCACTTCCATGTCCTCTCCATTTATATCGACAAAAGGTTGAGATCTGTTCCTCAGCTGCAGCTGAAACTTTTTTTCTTCTGTCCTTCTAAGAGGCCCTCTTGGAACTTCATTCTCTTGCTTCCTGTTTTGATTCCATGCTTTTTGAGACAAGGTTTAAGTTTTGTTAGCAACAGATGATGGTCCGATCCAACATCTGTCTGTCTCTGTACTATATCTTCCAAAGAACATCTGAACCAACAAGAGATACAAAAATGATCAATCTGGTTCTCAGTCACTCCATCTGGTAAAAACCAGATAATCTTGTGGATCCTCTCGTGGGCAAAAACTAAACTTCAATTAACAAAACTATTAAAAGCATGGATATTTGCAAATGGCTCACCATTCTCATTCACCTATTGTCCTGACCATGCTACCCTACAATGCCCTTATAATCCATGTTGTCATGACCAATCTTGGCATTGGCACCTCTCCCATTATGATGTTGACATCTTTCCTTGGTAGTTTGTAAGTGGACACCCCCCCCCCCCCGTCCCCCTGGAGAAGATTGTAAAAGACATCTTGTTTTTATCTGAAGAACTTTTCGTTGGGGTGTAGATCTGAATTATATTTATGGTGATGCTCTTGCTCTTTGTGGTGAATGAAGCCATAATGATTTTCTCCCCATGTGGTTCTCATCCTCTAGGTAATTTCAGTGCATTCGTTAAAATTCCAACTCCTTCCGCATGACGCTTGTAATCTTCCTTCCCAGCTGAACTGTTTCTTCCTAGACTGTATACAGTGGGTTTCACTGACTCTTAGTATGTGAAGCCTATCTTCATCTCTTGTAACACTTGAGCGCTTTGTCTGCTGTACTTCATTGGTCCTGCCAGTACAAAAGCTCCTCTGTCTCCTAAGAATGAAAAAATTTGACACCTTTTCTTGTATTTCTGTAACTTTTGTAGCTTTTATAGGATCGGATAGTTGGCTTTCTGTCAAATGGCACTTTTCAGGAGACCAGTAATACATTTCTAGTCGACTCTTACAACAAGCACTATCTATCTTTGCTCCACCGTGGTTAAACTATGGGGTGTCACCCTCCCTCCCACCCCACCTGCAGGGGAAATGTAACCAATTAATATAGTGATGAGAATATCTGAATTTGATATAAGCAAGCCTGTTTATGTTTGACTAAGCCTGTTAGAATTAAATCCTGGAATTATATTTCGTTTTAAAGACTCCAAAGCTTCATTATTTTGTCTTTTAATCTTAAAGCTATATCCCATTTGGTTTTAATTATTTAAATAGTCTGCAAATGCTGTCTAAATGCTGATTTCATTTAAACCCTTCAATTGTGTTTTGATAAAATGTTAAATAAGAGAATTTTGACTGTTCGCAGGGAAAATACTTTCGACAAGAACTCTTTCCTTGAGTTCCACTCAGTTGTGGTTTTCACCATAGATGTTGACATGGGCATCCTAAACTCTCTAGGCAGAATCATGGTGACATCACACGCCCAATGGGGTGGCAGTTTTGAAGAGTATCCCTTCATAGGACCAATGAAGGTCCTTGTGGATATTGATGATGGTGAAGGTATTTTTCTCCAAATTTCTTTACTTGTAGGAGTTTGGTGCAAGAGGTCAAGGGGCGAAAAAGGAATTGACCTGAAACCTTCTTTTCCTTGGCTCTAATTTAAACTAATTGAGAAAATGTATTCTGGTCACTCGGCATAGCTTGAAGACTCACTAGGCACAACTTTGTTGTTCATAAAGATATATCTCAGTTCTTTTTTTTCTTTATCTAAAATGTGAAAAGGCAGGCAACATAGTGCTTTTTATGAAATACGTGAGGTATTGTGGTGAAATCAGGTGCTCGTCAAAATAATGAAATCTGATAAATCGGCACTTTTCGGCCAGTTTGGAAATTTGCAGATTTTTATGGAAGACGTTGATTAACCTCTTTGCTGCTGCGCTCTTACAATTTACGGGCCTGAACCATGTAGCGCTGTGCATATGGCCCGTAGAATTTACGGGACTGTGACAGAGGTTGTTTTGATACCAATTATAAGGGAAGTTACTGCTAAAATCTTGTAACTATTATTGAGGTACCTTCCCTTTATGTTTTCCACAATTTTCCCCCCATTTGAAAGTGAAAGATTCAGATCTTAGCTCAAAGAGAAGATTACATCTAGAATCTAGATCAAACACATCTACCGCACAAAAATGATTTATTGGCAGTAAAAACTGATGGGCTTACATCTAGGCTTCCTCAGTCCCAGGCCATCCAGCCCACATGACTGGCCTCAGCATTGGAGGCCTACTACGTTCCCGGAGGGTCAATGCGAAAAGCGGCGATAGACTAGTGCGTTGGTGCGGGTGATGGAGCATTATCGCACTGTATTCACTAGACTGGCCTACAACGAACTTTACTTAAATGCTATTCATTTTTGTTGTTGCAGCTTTTTTTGTGAGATATTATCGGCTCTTATAACAAAAGAAGATCTCTCCAGTGACAGAGTGTATCAATTCGTAAACATGAAAATGAATTACGTTTGCCTTTTACCACAAAAAAAAAAGACCGTGGCACACTAGTGGGATAACTTTTGTTCTTCACTTGCAACATTGTTCTCATTCTACATGTTTCAACAAATATGAAAGAAAATTAATTTGACACACACACACACACACACACCACACACACACACACACAATATATATATATATATATATATATATATTATATATATATATATATATATATATATATATATATTATACTAAGCATGTAACTGAACACAATCCCCTTACTTCTGAAAAAAAAGTTACTTTGCTATTTTTTTTCTTCGCCTGTCCTTCATTTGCTCCGCAAATCTTTTCATGAAGATATCTGCCAGCCGCATCAGCTTACGATAACAATCAAGATGGAATATCGCTGGAAAGTCCCACAAAATCACCACTAATCAGTTTCTGCACAGTTTTTGGGTGGTTTCCATTTAAAAAAAACAACCCTACTCAACAAGTGGTAGTAGTATTGTAGGCCAACAATGTCTCTCTGGAAGGTTACACACGAAGTACAAAATTTCATCAAGGCTAATCTGACTCTAGCATGTGACAACATCTGTAGTGCGATAGTGAAGCCAGGATGCCTGATGTGCTTCAGTTTGTGAAGCTTCAAATGAAACCTCTTTCACGTGGTCATGGGTATGGTGAACAAAAGTCAAATACATGGAAAATGCAAAAACAGGGCCATCTCAAGTTCTGCTGAGCAAGACAGATGTTACTCTTTGCAACATTGCCTATGGCTGTCAGCGTCATATCCATTGTTTGATAAAATGAATTGAACTTGAAGACATCTCTTTCTTTAAATATATCATCAATATCAGCAGCTCTAGAAGAAGCTGAACTTGTAGTTGCTCTCTTTTTTGGAGCTGGTCTGCCACAACATGATGGTGGTACTTCTGGAAATTTTGTTGGAGACTCTGAGGGCACTATAAATCTTCCAGCCGGTGTCAAAGGTACATCAGGTTTGAAGTGCAGAGCACTCCCATATTATAATCCGTGACATCTTCTATGATTAATTTATTTGGAACACTTTTGATCCACTGTGCTTTTTTTCAGAATCTTTTGGAAATCTATGTTATTGTTATTTTGCATCTTCCTTTTGGCTGGCAAAACCACTTCTACTGCCCCATCCCCTACACTTTCTTCCCATGTTCAAATGTTGCTCACACGGTTCATTGCGCTGAAACTGAGACGTCAGCTGAAAACTTTTTCACAGTAACTTCAGCAGATTCTAGTAACAATAACATTCACGATGAACGAAAACTAGAATCTGGGCTGAACACTAAGACACATAATATAAGCACAAATTTAATCCTTAAAATTGAGTGTAGTGAAAATACATCTAAAAGAAAAAAACGTGTGCATCCAAGAGGACTGAATGAAACAATGAAGAGGCTAGGAGATTAGACAGACTAGACGGCTACACACTACACACATTACTATTACACTATCGGCACGCAGAAACGTAATGCAAAAATGGTCCATCACCTGTATACGTATTAGTATTAGAACATCTGCCTATCACCGCTTTTCGCATTTAATCGTCGTTTTTTGCATTTAATGGCCGCTTTTCACATTGCCTCGATAAGATAAGGACTGGTCTTGAGGTGAGCTTATCAAGATAAGGTCGTCCACCCCGGCCCTCAATGCTGGAGCCAGTCGTGCGGGCTGGATGGCCTAAGACTGAGGAAGCCTAGGCTTACATGTATACATATGGAATTTACAAGCGTTGTATAAGGTAGGAAAAGCCTCTTGTCACTTCCTCTGTACCTGCAGACACTCACACAACATGATAGACCTTTTTTGGTCTCAGTTTATCATTACTCGAATGAGTGTTGCTGTATGTTGTTTGGTGGTGTTGTTTTTGGCATCATGTTACTAACTCCAACTTTTCTCCATCTATCTCTCAATGAAATCCCCCTAAAATTATATAAATAGAAAAGTAGTTCAATGCAGAATGTATGCTGAAATTCACGAGGAAATATTAAAATAAATAAAAAAGTTATGGGAGGTAGAGTGGGGTCACCCCTGAGCAGCCTTGGCTCATGGGATTTCCCCTCCAGCCCAGGGGCCTATTTACCTGCGGCATTGAAGGGGTTAAAGGCACAAAATATGTATATTTTGCAGTTTCCAAGGACTGTTAATGGAAGTCACCAAACTTTGGCGGCCATTTTCTAGCTAATTTTATCTTTCAATCGCAAATATCTTGGCTTCTATTGAAAATAAATTGATATTTTTTCATTGAAAGCAAGGCAAATGAACAACCTTTAAGATGGTACCTATAAATAACTCCCTATGCCCCAAAATTGACCAGCGCCTGATTCCACTGCATCGTGACACATATTTGTTCATGTTTTTAGACTATAATGTGTGTCACGACTCGGTGGAATCAGGCGCTCGTCAATTTTGGGCATATGGAGTTATTGATATCATCTTAAAACAATTGATGATTCAGAATACATGATTTAAATTAGTGTTGTCTAATCTTTGTAGAAGGTTGCTCTTAAGGTCCAAGTAGCAAAGTGTCAGTGTATTTTGCTTTACGCAAATTATGGAAAACTTGAAATTTAAAATGGTGTTGTTGAAAAATGTTTAAGAGAATGTCCAACTATAAGTCCTTAATTTGTTATTCCCCTTGAATATTTTCACTTTAAAAACTGTTCTGACTTGAGAGCATTGTAAAGAAAAAGCTATAACATTCCTATTTCCCTACAGAAGTGGACTGGTGTTCTGTGTTAACCGCTCTTGGTAAGCAACGGTGTAATGACAGTGCCATGAACTGTACACAGGACAATGTTTTTGACAAGTGTGGAGAAGATACTGTCTGTAAGTATTCTTTTTTTAAGTCAGTTAAAACACTTACGTCTAAAAGTTGTGTACATGTAGTGGTCTTGGAAAACCCGACATACTGTCAATATTTTGCTTTTTAAGTGGATGGTGTTATGTGACAGCATTTTTTATTTCCTGCATTCCACAGTGTACCAGAGCTCAATAAGACTAGATAATTTATTTCAATGAGAAGATATAATTTAACTAATTTTGTTCCTGCATCGATGGTGTAGCGGTTAGGCATTCCTCTGTCATACATAGGAGACTTGAGCTGGATTCTTCAGTGAGGAGGATATTTATCACATACCTCGGTCTTTCTGCTGACACATGTTGCAAGGCCTGCCTCTTTTAAAGATCTAAATTATCCTCAGTAAAGAAAGAAAGCTATTTTCATAGGTCACATATGTTGAAGTATACTGTATCTCATGATATCTTCAATAGCATATTCTGTCAAACTCTCTCAGACCTCCTCACCTTGTATGTGATTCGTGTCATGTTGTGGGAAAAGACTTAGTGCTAGAAGAATAATGAGAGAGTTTGTAAGTAACAAAATATTTGAAATGAAATTTCCCATTGTTCACATTACTAGAACAATTAGGTTGCTCTGAGGTTTTGGCTGTATGTTTTATCTTTTTCTGAACTTTGCAGAATATATTCCCCCCCCAAATAAAAACAACAAAATCCCCCCCAAAAAACAGGGTCATGATCGATAGCTGTGTTGGAAAATTGTGAAGAAAAGACTAAGCCTACTTCTAGTGTTGAAAAAATTAGAAAAATTATTTTATAAACATTCTCAGCTGATAATATCATTAAAAAAGCGAATGAATAGAAAAAAAGGAGTCTTTCTCCTGTAAAAATATTTGAAAATGAATATCTAAATAAAAATGTTGACATATATTAATGTAACATGTATGTTTGTATGTGTGTTTGGCCTGTGTATATGTGTGAATGCATTTGAAAACGTCAAGAGAAAAAGGGCATTGGTCACAGAAAAAAATACTGATCTCTACCACTTTTCTTTTATGTGCTCCAAAGAAATACCACTGTTTGTTCACAGTACAACTATTAGAAATATGCCACTATAGCTTGTTCACTTTCATCTGTCTGCTTAAAAATATTTTAGCATATTCATTAATTTATCTATGCCTTCAAAACTTGTGCAATACACTTCTCCTGGACAGGGACCAAACAAAAATATTTTCTGAAAAATCTTGATCCAGTAATAACATTTTTTCTCTATTTGGGCCCTGTATTAACAGTTTGCAGTCACATTTCCAGCAGTACAAAGTACTCCATCTGGTCACCCAGCCATAGGAGAGTGACTGCAATGGACTTCTCGGGCCTGGCGCTGAAGTAGTCATCATACAATAAAACCTTAGGTGTAACCACAAAATTGTACGAAATTTGGATGATTGAACGATGGTTTGGAGACTCGGTCGAGAAATCAAGCGCTGCTTGATATTTTCCGTTCGATCACGGTCACACTTGAGGGAGACGCGGTGTGACGTAGATTCACTTTGAAATTTGCTGCCGCGCAGAACTAAACTCGGGACTCAAAATTTGTAAAATAATTATCATTGGTAAAAACTGATTTCATATTCGGAATCAGCGTCTCAAAATAAGCAAATTTGCTCACGTAGAACCTGATTTGGTGCGTTATTATATATATTTTAGCAATTTTATTATTTTGTTGATCGTCAAGGGTGAAGCTGTGCATTGACGTCACTCGGTGCGTTGCACATATCTGCAGTCAAGTCAAAGCTTCCGGTTGTACACACAACACAGTAGGCCTACAGTATGGCCACCCTTTTCTAAAGACACTGTTCTGCTATATCAAAATGTACAGGAGAAAGGGGATGGGGGTGGTTCTGTGATCTAGAGGTAGTGTTCGCCTTTCATTCATTAGGTCCAGAGCTCAAAACCTTCACATAAAGAGCAGGCAAATCGCTGTCGGTGCAAAGAGACATGGTGGCTTTATACTTTATGACGAGGAATCTCCTCAATCAATAGAAAACTGGACGATAGATTGGAACATGTAAACAGACAACACAGTTTGATAAAACGGACAGTTCTCTCATACGACGAATCTGATACTCTTTATCGTTGCGTGTAACCGGGGCTTTGCGTTTGCCTAGCTTACAAATTGCTAATTCTGAGACAGCAACTCCCTGCCTCCACATTTCAGTGTAAGCTTGAAGATTATATTCTACAGCCATCTAGATTTCTCCTCGTGAGTCTCAAAAAGTACCCACCTTTTCTCTTGAATCATGTTTCTTAGGCATATATGTTGTGGGATGTTGAGGAAAATATGTCAACTTTTTAATGTTTTACATGTATGTTAAACCCCTTAATATTTTTTACTTTCTTTAGGCTAACATGAAAGAAAACGTGTCGGAACCCCAGAACCTTTATGAACAGGCTTTTAGATTCTGTAGCCCATCCACATTATTTAGACTCGCATCCAAATATCTGAAAAGGTTGAAAAGAGCGATTTCATTTTACCTATATTTAACCATGGTCAGAAGAAAGTGAACAAGCTATAATATGAGACTACAATTGTTTTAAAAAGAATTAAAACCGTATAAGTTGAACATGTTAACGATAGATCAAAATAATCAAAGGCAAAAGCTCAAAACTGTGACTCATGTCATTTTCCCTTGTACTTTTCACTTGTGTGTTTGCGTGTGTGTGTGTGTGTGTGTGTGTGTGTGTGTGTGTGTGTGTGTGTGTGTGTGTGCGTGTGCGTGCGTGCGTGCGTGCTTGCATGTGTAGGGGCGTGCGTGCGTGCATGTGTGTGAGGGTGTTTGTGTGTTTGTGTGTGTGTCAGTGTAAATGTGTCAATGTGTGTGTATGCAAAGGTGTGGAGGTTTTTTTTTTTTTTCTCTGCTAGTCTAAACATGAACAAATCAGAAGTTTCACTTTTGTTTTATACATCTATTTCTTTTTCCTACCTTTCTTTCGCAGCTTGGAAGACAACATGTGAGTACTTCATGATTGTGTCCTGTTGTCATACAATGCCATGAAACATATTTTGTTTTTCCAGAACAACACGGACATAATAAGGGGGAAGGCGTTTTGTTCTAGTCGCACCTGAAATTGAGTTTGTTCCTGATCTTCTTTAATGATGTAACGAACGTGCTGAAATCAGAAAAGACTCTTTATGCCGATGATCTTGCTCTCTGGCAGACACATCACAGCACGATAGTAGGAGCAGGGAAATTAAATGAAGACCTCAAGAGGCTCCATAATTACTGTCAGAAATGGAAACTTAAAATAAACTGCACGAAAACAGTATACACCATCTTCACGAAGAGCCATAAAGCAGCCAAAGAAAATCTCAAACTAAAGATAGGAAATGAAAGTCTCCCCAAAGAAGAACATCCAACTTACCTAGGAGTCAAACTTGACCATAAGCTAACCATGAAAAGCCAAGTGGAGAACATAAGGAACAAGGCAAAAAAAAGACTCCAACTTTTAAAGAAACTCGCAAGCAGTTCATGGGGGTCAGACAAACAAACTTTGAGAGCTCTAGACCTGGGTTATGTCCGATCTTCCCTGGAATACAGCAATAGCCTACTCACTATGTGCAGTACAACTACTTGCAACACCCTTGACAAGGTCCAAAACAATGCCCTTCGTTTTATAAATGGCGGCATGAGATCCACACCTACCGCCGCGTGCGGAATCCTTGCAAATGTTGAACCCCTGGGAATACACAGAGATAAAGCAGTTTTGGAGCTACATGAAAGAACTAAAAGAATGTGCCCCAACCACCCAAACAGGAAATTAGTAGAAACATGGAAACCAAAGAAACGAATTCAACAAAAGTCAATCATGCATCACATCACAGAATTAATGGAGAGCCACCATCTACCACAAAATAGAAAAGAAACCAAAAGAGTCAACCAAAACATCCCTCCCCACCTTTCTTTAAAAAAGCCAATCATTACAACATCTCTCAAAGACAAGAGCACAAAATCTTCAGACCCAGTGACGCTGATGCTTGCATCACATCAAACAATCTACAGCTATTCAGATGACTGGATACACGTCTATACGGACGGCTCAGCATTCAAAGGCACAACCAAAGCTGGATATGGAATACTAATACAGTACCCAGATGGAAGTTCCAATGAGATCTCTGCAGCCTGTGGAGAGAAATGCAGCAACTACGATGCAGAAATGATGGCAATTGAAACAGCACTGTACCATCTCCGCACAGTTTTTAATACTCATCCTGGAAAAGCACAGAGTATTGTGATTTTCTCTGACTCACTATCAGTATTACAAGCCATAGAAAATGACCGTCACCTAAACCAAGATTTGACCCATATACTGTTTGGATCCCATCATCTGATAACATTCTGTGGCATCAACCTAGTAATGCAGTGGGTCCTCTGACACTCAGACATACCTGGAAATGACAGAGCAGACACACTCGCCAAACGAGGATCTAGACAGGAACAACCCAACATTCCAACTTCATACAACACTGCAAAACAAATCATCAAAAGCAACAACAAACAAGATTGGATGAACAGATGGGCCCTGGGAAAGACAGGCAGAGCAGTTTTCAAACATATGACCACAACAAAAAGGAATGACAATATCAACCGCCTTCAGAGAAAGAAACAGACCACGATCTTCCGCCTACGAACAGAACATATACAGCTCAACTTCCACTTGAACAGAATAAACCCGGAACTTCCCCCAATGTGTCCCTTGTGTGACTATGCATATGAGACTGTGGATCATCACCTGTTCCATTGTACAGCCCTAAATGACATCAGAGCTACCCTTCTCCCTCTGAGACCTAACATTGACAACACACTCTATGGAACATTACAGCAACTGCAGCAGACCTGCACTTATTACTACATGGCATTGGACAGAAGGGCGAGAGCCCAGCTGTTGCTGGATTGATAACAACAACAACAACAACACCTGAAATTGAGTAATGGTCTTCTGCTGTTTAGTTTGACAAATGTTCTTTTATATGACAGTGAGACTGTAATGAAGGCCATGATCTGGCGACTTTTTACATATTTGTCAAATTTGCTGAGCTATTTTGAAAATGTCAATGATGAGAGAAAATTTAATTGTAATGATGCCATGTGAATTAAGGGTAATATTAGTCCCCCTTTTCCCTCTTTTATGCCATCCAAGATAATTAAATTGTTTGAGGAAAAAAAAGGACATGAAAGTTTACAATGATTTTTAAGGTGCAACAAAATTAGGTTGCATTTTAAAGCTCACAATGTTTGACTTGAATGCAGCATTTGTCACTTCACTATAATAATGATCTCTCCATACTATTAGAAAGGTCGGAAAAGACATTTGGAATATCTGGTGCTGTTCTTGAGTGGTCAAACTTATCTGGGTGTTCACTGTCTGTTCTTAAAAACAAAAAATACAGTAGGCCTATGACCCGGATAGGTAGAACACATATTACTCGAAATCACACATTCATCGAGCTGTGCTTGCGGTCCTGTTTTTTTTTCTTCTTTATCTTTGCAAGAAAATTTCGTGAAGCTCACACACAAACACGGAATAGTCGAACAAATTACGCTGCCACAGGATTGTATTCCATCTCGAAGTTACCAGTCTATTATTAAAAAACAACTATGCCTTGTATAACGAAAGAATTTAAGAGGTAAGGCTTTAATTTGACAGCGGTTCCCTCTTTGTGGTATTCCCTTCCACTGGTTTTAAGAAAGTCACCAACTTTGACTGCATTTATATCTGGTCTGAAAACATATTTACTTAGATCCCAGTTTAGAAACTACTGTTGAACCTGCTCAAATGGCCAGCTTAATAAGACAAACATCTCTAAAAATGTCCACATTCCAGTTTCCTCTTATAGCTTGTTCACTTTCATCTGACCGAGATTAAAACAAGGTAAAAATGAAATAGCTCTGTTTAATCTTCTCTGATCATTGCATACAGGTTTAAAAGTTGGATAACCAACAGAATCTAAAAGCTCATTTATAAAGGTCCCTTTAAACTAAGATTCCAACACGTTTTCTTTGATGTAAACCTATAGCAGGTAAAAAATAATAATAGGGGATTTACTGCATACACCTAAGACCTTTTAAAGTTGACATGTTTTCCTCAACACCACACTCTAAAGTGTGCCTAAGAAACGCAATTCAAACAACGGGGTGAGTAATTTCAGAGACATGCGTGGAGACATCTAGACAACTGGGGGGTGAAATTTACAAGCTTACACTGAAATGTGGGGCAAGGAGATGTCACTGCCTCAAAATGAGCACTTTGTTGGCAAGGTTACTGCTAATCATTTATTTTAGTGATCCTGTGCTTGCGTCCAAAGAGCGGTTTTTAATATAGAGCCCAAAGAGAAAAACTTTAAACATTTTATTTCTTGATCAAGATTTTTGGAAAAAATATTTTTGCTTAGACGCTGGCCTGCCGAAGTGTTTGTGGGCTTAGGTAAATAAAGAAATGAGTTAGAATTTTTGTAACACAGTCAGACCAAAGTTAACAAGCTATAGTCTTTTTTTTTTACATTATAAGGACCCTGTGTAAGACAACCTTTTTCCTCCTCGACGATTGGTCTAAGACGATTTTACTTGTAGTTTGATTTTTCTCTCAACAACAAGTGTGATCAGTAGCCAGAGCAATTGTCTTTTTGTGTATGTGGTCTTTGTCAGATTACGAGTGTATAGATATTTAAAAAGATTATTATATGTTGAGAGGAGTGAGTGCTATAAGAGTGATCTTTATTATTATTAGTATTAGTAGCAGTATTATTATTATTATTAGTAATAATAGTAGTAGTAGTAGTAGTAGTAGTAGTAGTAGTAGTAGTAGTAGTAGTAGTAGTAGTAGTAGTAGTAGTAGTAGTATCATTATTCAAGATGTTCAAAATAATTTGAGATACAAAACAGCTAACCGTTAACCTCCATTTCTTTTGTAAATGTTATATAGTATTGAATACAAGGAGGGATAATGAAAAAGAGCACGACTCTGACATCATAGAATGTTGTTGCCGGTAGATGAAATGACATGACTGGTGTTTTCCACCTTTTATTTCACAGTGTTCCTAAGGTTTGAGATAGACAAAGACTTTAATGCCAGTGACAGCTGGGCTGTGGAGGTGGCTGTGAGAGCCAACATTTCGGTACATCTTGTATCTTTGTACTCGGAGTACCACATTGCCGTCGTCCATGTGCTGTAAGTCTATAAATATAGATTGATCCAAATGTTTGAGGGAATAAGGTGGAGAGACCTGGACTGTGCCTTACTTTTGTGTGCATAATGCGATTGTGGTAAATAGAAGCCTTGAATGTCAGAGGGCACTTAGGAAGAACGGAGAGAATGAGGAAGTACAAGGAGGAGGTTGGAGCTGGAGATGAGGGACTGGATGAGAAGAGGGATTCACAGCATATTCAGAAGTTAAGAGACTCTCTGAGATTCTAGGCTTGAGTTTGTTTTATTGTGTAACTTTGCAAAATGAACTTGTTTGTTCCTTTCTTGTTACTGTGTTCTCCTGTATAGTTAATTTGAGAGAGTCTAGGCTCTCTCTTCTCTAGTTAATCCTTGAACAAAGGTATGGTGAAAAAAAAATGGTCCAGTTATATCTAGGTGTTGGGAGTTGGTCTGAGGGTGAACTTGACGTATGTTTTGCTGTTTGACATTTGTGAAAATTGGTAAGATTTTATGAAGAAAAATTATTCTCCTTTTGTTTTACTGTTCGTGTTTACCAAATACTGATATTGAACATTGCTGTGAGCATGACACGCACTACGTTTGTGATTGGCTTCCTACAGACCAGGGAGCACTGTGGTCATCATTCGGGTGGATACAGACTCTGACTGGGTGCAGCATCTGCTAGAGAGATACATCTACAAGTCGTTCCTGGAGCAGCCAGGTTCAATCTCAGTGGATGACACAGTGTACTCGGTTGTGTCTGTGAAGTTGTATGAAGATGAAAACGATGCCGTAATGGACCAGGGAGCATTGAGTAAGTTTGTGGACATAGTTTATTGATGCTACTGGAAAGAAATACACTTGTTATGGGCATAGTTAGGGAGGGGGGATGATTTTCATTGTCTACAGGTACTGTGTTCGCCTCTCAGTCAAAAGGTTCCGGGATCGAATTCTGCCAGGGACAGAAACATTTTTGATTGTCAGAAATATTCCCCTTTATCTTCCTTTTCTGTTCTCTAGTACCGTTGTGTCATCTGCTTCATCACCACTTTCTCCCCTGTGCTTCTCTCCAACTTACCCGTGACTTTTTTCTACTGTTAGTTCTCGTTCCTTACAACATTGTTGCTGTCTTTAAGCCACAGCTCAGGTAAGATCTAACAGCAAGCCTTCTTGGATCAGGGCATAAAATCTCAGAGGTCTCGTGTGCAAGTTAGGCACGTTAAATATCTTTTAGTGGCCTAAAATCAATAAGAGTAGGCCACCATGCAGGCAAAACTGAAAATAAATTCCTCTCAAAACTGAAGATACTCTAGCTGGTAAAAGGTAAATATTGAGTACCTGTGAAGTCAGGATGTAGTTACCTGAAGTCAAGGGGTTCTAAGAAGTAAGAAACAAGGGCACACATTTTAAAATCAGTTGCACTGTAGGTTGAAGAACCAGCAGTTAATTACCTCTGAGATCTAGCAGGGAAACACAAAGAAGAAAGGAAAGGAGTATAGTTTGGTTTGAATAAAAACTACTCTTAAGGCAAATATTATAGAACTGACTGAGGTGAGACTTTGGGGTAGATCGAGAGTGAGATTTTGTCCTCCTGTGTATCCTCATCCCACAGAGCAAGTGGTTTTGACATGTAAGGCCTGTTTCCATGCTGGGCAGTCGCTTGTGTTGTCTATTAGACAATCATGACTGTTTTCTCAGGTAAAGAACAAAGAATTCATCTTGTGGTTTGAGAAATTACATTGATGAATTTGTGACTTGCCTAGGTTTTCCAGGAAGATAATTGTACGAGTAGCTAGTAAAAAATTCAACGAGGTATGTAGCTCAGAGTAACTGTTAACTCCCTTTCCTTTCCAGAACTGCACACTGTTTGCGACATGGGTTATGAATGTCCAAAAGGTTCCAGGTGTGTGGCTACTGACTCTCATCCCAAATGTGAAGGTAAGAGAGGAATAGAAAAGTTTGATTAATTGATGCATTCATCCCTGAATCCATCTCAGCATGTTTCTACCAGGGTAGCTGTCTGAACAGGCTATCAGTATGTCTTTTTGTCCTTTTTATGCCTCTCTGATTAAATGATTCTTTTCTCTCACCATTCATTTTCTCAGCCTTACTTCATCCTTTTCGTCATAATATGTGGGGTATTTGGTAAAACAATGATTGAAGAGAAATTGTCACTTGTCTCTTGATTTGTCAGATGACAGAAGTCAGTTTGTACCTTACTATTTACTAAATGTGGATTTTGGAGTGCTGCCTCCCTCCCACCTCTTCTTAATTGAAAAGTAACAATGTTAATTGAGAAGAGATTGTGTGTGCAACCCCCCCAAAAAAACATGAAAAGGGAAATGAGTGTAGATGTGCAATAAACATAGAAGGAAGCTGTGACTTTGCTAAATGCCTGTTTCTTCAGCCCCATGTGACTATGGAGAGTTCCGTGAGAGGGATGCAGGCTGTGAGATGTGTCCTAACGGAACTACGACACTGGTCCCAGAAGCAATATCCCACCACATGTGTGTCCGTAAGTAATTGTCCGTGTACACTTATGGTTTTGTTTGTTGAAGTGGAAAGTTCTGCAAGATATAGTTATGCTTCTATCTGTTCTCTCCTCATAGTTAAATTTTTGGGTAGTAATAGGGGAAAATAGTGCAAATGTAATGATAATAATAATAATAAAAATAATAAATGACATTCATATAGCGCTCAACCCAATTAAAGTACACAGGCTCTGAGTACAGTAGTCTCCGCCTAAACGCACGCCATACAAAAGCATGCTCCGCTCAAACGCACACTTTTGTCATCGGGACTGACATGTTTTTTGATTGGTCACTGGAAATGTGTCTTTGAGAGAAGGTTTCTGACTGGTGTTTGGGTGACCGCATGCAATGTTGAGTTTTGTTTAGACCTAGGCCTATGATGTGCAACAGTCGTGAATGCTGTAAAACATTAGATAGGCCTCTATAGGATTAAAGATTAGTCAAGTAAACCTAATCAGCTGCGCTCAAAGAACTTATAAAGTACTTGTTCAACGAATCACAAGAGTAATATTTTTCTGAAGGTAGAGATCTATGATTCTGATGTCATCCATAAAGTCGGGGTGGTCGCTTGGAGAGCCTCGTGGCTGCGCTGTCGTCTCTATGACTATCACCAACAATTTCCCCTTTGGCTATCTGTTCCTGACATTTTATGGTGCATACCATTACTTTGAGTCTGTTTTTCTGCCCCCCCCCCCCATTCAATCCCTTTATATTCTTCAACGGAGTCGGGGAATCCTTCTCAAAACCTCGAAACAGTCTTGTGTCGCAACATTATTGTCCCAAAGTGACCCCCGCCCCAAAGGGAGGTCACTAGAATTACAAGTCAATGAGATGACAGCGTCCCTTCCTCCCTTTGCAAAGGTTCCTGTAAACGCACGCTCCGTGTAAACATACGCCAAGGAGCCCTCCCGAGCACTGTGCGTTTAGGCAGAGACCACTGTACTTGTAAAGATTTTTCTGACTTAAAAACCCGAAAGATAATGGTGTAACGTGCACTTTATACTGATTTGTTACCCATGGATGCAGAAGGTACGTGAGAAAAACAAGCAGCCCGCTTTGCAAGGAATGGGTTAAATAATTTGCTGATCACCCTCAGTTCAGTGCATCAGATGCTCTGATAAATGCAATTCATAGACAAGGCGTGACTGCGTGACAGGCTCGACCTAATGATGGGTGGGTTGTATTTTAGTGTTGGAACAAGCACGCGATAGGCCTGATCTAGGCCTACTGATTCAATAAACTGAATTGAGAAATGAGCTGACGGGCTGCAGACATTAGATGCAGGGGTGATGAAATCATAATATGCTTGAAAAATGTATTTTTTCTTGAAGATTGACATGTAAGGTGCTGGTAGTGAACTGATCTGTACATGCAGTTAAGATTATCGTCACTGGTTTAACTTCTTTGTTTGTTCATGATGTCACAAACAAGCAGCATCGTCTCGAGCAGCAAATAGTGAATCTTTGGGGGTGTAATGATCAACTCCTGCCCGCTGGCAGTCTGTTACAGGTGAATCATATGTTCGCTCATTTATTTGTGTACCCTGGAAATGAGGGCTTGCTCATTGGCTAATAAAAATTTTACAGGTAGAACTTAACACTAAAAGAAAGACATGTTATTTTTTGCTGTGCAGGACTGGATGGAATCATATGTGCTGTTAGGAAGAACAGGCGCAGATAAGCTCTGATTGTTTTCATGTCATGTGTCCTCAGGCAACTGTTCTTCGGGCCAGGTGTTGAGTCTGGAAACTTTAGAGTGTCAAGACTGCCCAGATGGTTTCTACCCAGACTCTTATCCTTCTGTGTGCTATGTCAACTCCAGTAAGTTCCAAGGCAGTCAGTGTTTTCTCACACTGGGGATATAGACAAAGTAGCCATGACAGTTGTGTAGAACATGTGTTCCTGTCTTTGGGATTGCATAGATAGCATTCCTCCCCATAGTGCTAGTGCATAGCTGGCTTTATTTCTTCCTCTTACTTCTATAGTTCAACACAATTCCTGATCAATGTTGAACCTTTTGCCTGATCACGGCGTCACTTTTCGCCCGATTCTGTTACTTTTAGTTCGCGTGACTCAGCAGCCTGACGGAGCTCCCCGGCTCGGGGTCACGGGGTTAATGAGCCCTGAGGCGACTTTGCCGGTGTCGGTCGGGAAGTTCGCATTTTTGACTATGTTTAAAACGATATAACTTCTTCCCCATCCCACACAGCAAACCATTACGCGAATGTACTGAAAGCTCAATGTCTTGAGATTTATTCTGCGTTAGAATGGTTAGTTTCTGTGCCTTAGTTTTTGTTCTAGACAAGTGTTTGTAGAGTACCCAATTTGTCCTATTTTGGTTACAAAGTTATGAATAAATGATTGTTATTTTAAAAAAGGCACAACAGATCTCTCCAAATTCTGTGTTAAACTGACTACGAATATCATGTCTTTTACCATGAGAAATCTTAAATCTGCGGTAGTAGTAATAGTCAAGTTATAAGAGAAGAAAGATGCACATCTGCATATTTTAACTAAAGACGATCAGCGTTAGCTCTTATCTTACTATTAAACAAGAGAAAGTTACTCTGCGTTTGTTCATGAATCATGCTGTGTCTGTGGCAGCCTGCATACAACTAAAAAGATATAATATAAGCGATTTAAAAAACCACAAAACCGTGTAAATACATGGGTAGAGATAAACTTCTAGTATGGAATAAAAATAACGACAGCTAAAACATTCATTCTTAGTTTTTGTGTAGGAAATATGCGCTGACACAATTATGCATGTAAAGAAATCAGTCACATTGTCAGTTATTGCAAATGGTCATAGAAACGTAAAAAAAGCTGGAAAAGTCTGGTGCTGATTCAGTGTCCCTGGAAAGCTAGAAATTATTCTTATTACCCAATTACGAGAAGTCATCCCTATTATTCAGTCAACTTACAAAACCTAGACTTAGCGTTTTAAGAAAAGTAAGCAATTTCTGGAGTGTAACAGATACTGTTCGTGTATTAGATCTACGTTGAAGATATATTCTAGCACTAAAATCGATTTGTACTTTTCATTGAGAAACTTCATGATAACTTTTATAAACTTTCGAGAAAATATGCGAATATTCATGATTATATTAGACACATAAAGTTGTATTTGGAGGAATTACTTCGTAGCGAATTGTGTGCCCGATGGATAAAATTGCAAAATTACAGCCTTCTATTATAAGCGCAGATACCATCTTTTCTGAGTATCTGCACTAATGTTATGTCGTTCATATTCCAAAAGTTCGACAGATTTTGACGATGCGTTTTTTAAAAATTGATTTTTTTTCATTCACGCTAGTCCAAAAAAAATTACAATTTAGCATTGCCGACTCCAGCGCGTCTAACGAAATAACCAGACAAGTTACAACATCCGTTCTTTTTTGAGTCTCAAGAGCAGAAATGCGTGCTTTGGGTGCAGTAAATGAGAATTACCATAAATACAAGGATGCACCTTAAATTGTACGTTGAAAAGTACCAAAAATTAAGTCGGCCCAGACAGAGCGGCGACAGGGAGCTGACCCCCGTGACCCCGACGTGATAAGGCGCCCGGCGGGGAACCCCCCACGGCAACTAAAATTCCACTGCCGGTGCGCCGTGTGATATAGGAAAGTGGTTTTCTTTGTTTCTGAAATCTACTTTTGACAAAGCATTAATGTGTATGTGTGGATGATGATGATGATGAAAACTTTGAATGAACTGACTTGATGGCTGAATGCTTTCCTTGCTCTGACAGCGCTACCTGTTGAGAATCGCAGGATGGACATCCACATGACAGTAACACTTGTGACCAACAGATGTGATGAAGAGAACACAAACTTCAGCAAAGCCAATGTCACTCTTGGGCTCAAGGACATGGCCAGAGGAGTGATCTCTGCAAGATTTTACATGGCATACTATTTGCCAAGAACTATATACCTGTGAGTCTGCAGGGTTTTTTTTATGGGAAGATATTCTTTTTGTCTTGTCTTATTTTTGCTAGTTTAAGGGGAGGAGCAACCCTTGATTTTGCCGATTTTGGGTCAGGTTATGCACTTTGAGATGTTGGCTGAATTTTGAATATCAACCAGTTCTTTGCAGTATTTTCCCTACTCCTTCCTTAGTTTTCATCCTTTTGACATGAAACTTTCAGGAAACATAGATGGCAAGGCTGCCTCCAATGTAACAGAGAGATATTTGCGAAAACAATCCAACAGTTTTCCATTGGCAAGCGGTTACGCAACCGAAATTTAGAAAAGTTTTTTTACACTAGGAAAATTCTCGTATTTTAAAAATATTTGGCCTTACTGAAAAAAACTTGCTGTTACACTGATAGGGTCTCATTCAGGTATACTCTCACCACATTCGGTCAAATTTGGTCAGTAAATAAGAAAGCCTTAGGGATTTGAAATTCATTATTTTCGAGATGGCGGCCATTTCCATAGCAACCGCTATAGCTATACCAAATTAAAATTGCGTATCAAAAGATTTTACTGTGCCTAACTTATATGTGTACTTAGATTTGATCTTGGGCAACAAACATAGGAAATGGTACTCACGGGTCTGTAAATGTGGTGTGTTAAAAGTGGGTGTGTGCGACATCGTACAGCTTCATGTATTATTTTTATCATTCAGACAAAAGCCAGTATGCATACAGAATTAATATAATTTTCCTGCTGTGCTCTATTATCTTTTTCAGAATTGAATACATTTCTTGGTATCAGTTGAAGTTTCCTGGTCTGAAAGTAACATGCAGTAAAATTCTAGTATGTGGTGAACACTTCCCTATTTTTGCTCGTTCTGGAAACACTTTTATCCATTTTGTTTAAACTTGAAATCAGTAAGAGGACAAGAGGTGAAGAAGATTTGTGAGACAGCGTGGTGAAATCAGGCGCTCATCAAAATAAGGAGAGTGGAGAAACTGGCATTTTTCCACGGGTTTTGTTTTTTGGCTCAACATCTTTCATGCCCATTAGAGAACACATTTCTGTGTGGATTTTACTGAAAAATGTTGATTAAAGGCATAAAAGCTGTAAATTTTCTGTTTCCACGAACTCTCAAGCTCAGGAAATCTCTCAACTTTGGTGGCCATTTTCTCGCTAATTTTTACCTCTGAAACCAGGTTTCCCCACCTTCTTCAATCGCAAATAGCTTGACTTCTATTCTAGCTAGATGGATATTTTTTTAATTGAAAGTAAGGCAAATGAATAAGCTTTCAGATGATATCAATAACTCCACATGACCAAAAATTGATGAGCGCCTGATTCCACCACGCTGTGACACATATGTTCATTGTGAGTGGAAGAGCAATGTGGTAAAGTATGTCTGTGACAGTGTTCTTAGTGTCCTTACTAAGAAAGTTATTTGTACAATATGATTCCCCACAGTGGTCTGTGTGAGCCAGAGTGTGTGAACATTCTCTCTGGCCCTCTGAATGAGAAGGAAGTGTGTGTCCCAGACTGTGGAGGGACTACCCCCTGTGACCGTTTCCTGAGCAAAGTCAGTGTACAAGTCTACAATGCCTGGTGAGAAGTGAACCTTTGGTCTTGCAGCTAACAAGTGACTGGGTAGAAAAAGACATTTTCTTGTTGCTATGAGGTGGTTTAGTTTCCCTTTTTAGGCAAGCTACACTATATAAAGCAGAAATGGACAGGATGAAGCAAAATATATAAGGTCTTTCAGAATGTAAATGGGAGGAGGCAGGCTTGATTAAAACAGGTTTTAAAACATCAGTATATTCTGGAGGAAAAACCCATAAAAGAGTGGCAGAAAATTTATTTGATGTAGCAACAGCAAAGAGCAGCAAAGATTTATGTGGAGTGTCTTATAGTCATTGTGGCTAAATTGGAAGGAAACCCATCTGACATAGATATCATCCAAGTGTATACACCAATTTCAGAGCGTGGCAATGGGGAAATAGAGAAATTTTATGGAGACCTTGATAAGGCAATGAAACAACTAAAATCTCAAGATGTAAAGCTAGTCGTAAGGGACTTTAACGTGAAAGTAGGAGGTAGGCCTACAAACATAGAAGATATAGTTGAGCCATGGGGAATGGATAAAGAGAATAAACACATCAAATGATTCTTAGGATGGTGCAGGGAAAATATTTTCATGAACTGAAACACCTTGTACGAAAATTGCCCAAGAAGATATTATTCATGGAAAAATCTGGTGATAGAACTAGAAGCCAACAGACTTCTTCCTCATTTAGAAATGTTTTAGAAAGGCAGTAAAATCATGAAAATCATTGCCAGGAGCAGATTGTGACAGTGACCATGTACCAGTCATGTGTAAAATTTGGATCAGACTGAACAAACATAAAAAGTCATAGTACCAACCCAAATTTGAAATGGATCTTTAAAAGAATAATCAAGAATTGAAAGAAAGTTTTTCTCTAGATGCAAGCAGCAAGTTTCAAGCTCTGGAAAACATAACTAAATCAGATGAACTATGTTGGTAAATAAAAAAATGCAATAAATGAAGCTGTGGAAGAAAACATCCCCCAAAAGCTAGGAAAATAAATAAAGACTGGATGACCCAGGACAAGTTGAAACTAATGGAAGAGAGAAGGCAGACAAAAATTAGATGCGGGAAGGTACAGTAGTCTCCACCTAAACGCACACCATACAAAAGCATGCTTTTCATCGGACGGGGTTTTTTACTCTATAATTTAGACGTACAAACGCACGGTCACTCCCTCTAAACGCACGCTCCGATCCGCGAAACATGCCGACAAGTTAAACTTGGCAAGGGGAAATTTTCACGACAACCTGCACAGACTGCATAAGACAAGCCTAGAATTTAATAGAAAACCGGATATTTGGTGAGAGTGCCCCTCACGCCGTACAAAGAGTGATGGACAGCGTTTACACACCCTACTTTCCACTGACGAATAGGTCTCGGTCTAGGGCTGTTCGGTTAAATGTTGGGAGGGGGGGATTGGGGGGACTGGAATGTTTTTTGATTGGTCACTGGAAATGTATCTTTGAGAGAAGGTTTCTGACTGTTGTTTGAGTGACTGCGTGTAATGTTTAGTTAAATCTAGCCCTGATGCGCGACACGCGCGAATGCCGTAAAACACTTGACAGGCCTCTATAGGATTTTAAAGATTAGCCAAGTAAGCCTAATCAGCTGTACTCAAAGAATTTATAATGTACTTGTTTAACGATTCACAAGAGAAAATGTTTCTGGGGGATGATTCTGCATGAATTTACAGTCGGGGGTGCTCGCTTGGAAAGCCACGTGGCTGGTCCGTCGTCTCTGTGACCATCACCACAAAGTTTCCTCTTAAGCTATCTCTTCCAGACATTTACAGTGCATATTCATTACATTGAGTTTGTCTTTCTTCCCCCCCCCCCCTCCCCATTCAACACCTTTGTATTCTTAACCCCTGTCGGGGAATCCTTCACAAAACAATCACGTGTCGTCACATTATCTGCCAAAATGACCCCCTCCTTCCAAGGGAGGTCACTAGAGTAATAAGGCAATGACATGACTGCGTCCCTTCCTCCCCTTACAAAGGTTCATGTAATCGCATGCTCCGTGTAAACACATGCTAAGGAGCCCTCCCGAGCACCGTGCGTTTAGGCGGAGACTACTGTATAAATAAATGATCAATGTTAGCAAATAGAGAAGAATCAAAACAAAGATAGCAGATATATGTATTCTGAATTAAGTGGGATACAGAGATACTTCAAATACAGGGCGCATAGGATCAAAAGGAGCAGATATTTTAATGGACAAAATGGATGTCTTATACAGATGGTCAGAATACGTAGAAGAAGTATAGTAAGACCATAGAGGCCAGTGATAATGAAATAATAAATGGATCACCAATACTGGAAGCAAAAGTACAAGTTTCCACTAAGAAGGCGAAACAAAGAAAAGCTACAGAGCCAGATAATATCCAGGGCTGTAAGTGATTGTTGCACCAGAAGAACTAGGCACTGAAATAACAACAGGGCTCTTAAATTCTTTCTATGACAGCGGTGCGATTCCAGAAGATATGATGAAGTCAGTCTTTATAACTTTACCTTAAACAGTGGGTGCCTCTGAGTGTGAGATACATAGAACAATAGGCTTTATGAGTTATTTTGCAAAAATCTTGCTGTGAGTACTCATGGGAAGAATGAGAAAAAGTCTAAGACCAAAGATATCTAGAACACAGTTCGCCCACTACCTTGTCAGTAAGAGGTGAAACCCCTTCAATGACGAAGTGTTGCACACGGACCTCAACCCTCTGGGATCTGTGTGCAACATCTACTTTGGTGTATCTTTCTCTTCTCCTTCCCTCTTTCTTTCTTCTTCAATATCTCCTTCCTCCTCTGACCTCATGTCGAGAAAAAAGCTAGAGGTCACCCATCCCACAGAGTGGGCGCCTTGTTGACCATGAGGTGCGACGCGTGCGGAGGGAAATTGGGTACCTGGAGGTTGGGATGAGATCAGCTTGAGGACTGTCCCTCACCAACACACCTCTTTGGCCCAGGTTTTCCTCTTAGACTTGAGGATGGCACGGGCATGCAACTCAATTGATTGGGAGCTGATACCCCTTCAGTCCCTGAGTCAATATTGACGGGAGGGTCCTGTAGAGTCTCGTAAAGAGTTTAACTCTGGGGTAGCCCTGGCACAGCTCCGGCTATCCGAGCAATGTGCCCCCTTGTTGGGCTCGATGGTGGATAGGGAGCCCCGCAGCCGAACCAAAAATCAAAACACCTATGGAACCAAAACTATCTCAAGACCCTTCCACAGCTCCCTCACATTAAGAAGTCTCGGCTCATGGAAGCGAGGGCAGCCGCCGAGCTGAGCAAACAAAATGGAAAAAGGGCCTTTGCTGCTGCCTCTACCCCCCACCCCCCCTCTTCCCAGGGAGCTTCCATGGCAGCCGAACGTGGCCATCTCCAGTGCAGAAGATACACAGAAGAAGTTCACAGATCTGAACCTTTATAAGACAGGAGATGCACTACGGCAGGTTCTAGGATACATCCCAACCCACAAATGTTCAGAAGCTGTCCTCTGGTGCACTCCTTGTCAAGTGCGCAACAAGGACAGAGGTGACCAAACCATGAACTCCACAACCTTTGGCGGTATTCAATGTACATCCAAGCGGTACCAGAAATTGAACTGTTTGAAGGGCGTCGTCTGCAGCCATGAACTGAAGGGCTGCAGCATGAAGGAAATTGTGGCAAATTGCAAGGGCGTGACCCACGACCGCGGGATTACTCTACGTCGGGGGGAGACCACCCTTGAAACAAACACAATCATTCTGACTTTTGATTCGTGTCATCCTATAGCCACTGTTTGGGCATCTTATTTGGTCCTTGATGTGCGTCCTTGTGTGCCAAACCCTCTGTGCTGCTCCAAGTGCCTGAAGTTCGGCCATAGCCGGTCATGATGCCGACACGCAGCCGTCGGTCCTCATTGTGGTATGATCGGGAATCGTGAAAAGGAATGCAAGGCTAGTCCTTGCTGCCCCAATTTCCATGGCCAGCACACAGCTTTCAGTAAGGATTGTCCGACTTGGCTCCAAGAACATGCAATCCAAGAGTATAAAATGCGAAATGGCTGGTCATTTCATGAGGCCCGAAAGACTGTCTACCCACCAGTTGTGACCCCGGTCCCTGGCTGGTCATATGCAAAGGCAGTCTGGCTGGTCACGGGGTCGGCCAGTACTTCTACTGCCAACCTCCCAAAAACCACGGTCAATAGGCAAGTCTCTGTAACAAGTCTAAAAAGGTCCTTACTACCTCTGTGGCTCCCACCTTTTAGGTGCCACTGTCTAACCGCTTTGGGATTTTTGGGAAGGATGGGGTGGACTTCATCATTTCCCCTCTCTTCTATCCCTTCTTCCTCTTCTTCCTTCTCAAGCTCCATCCCTCTTATGGAGTGTCAGATGTCCCTTCCCCCCTCTCCCCAGCCCCGTCCCCCCCATTCCCAGCCCCCTCCGTCTACTCCACCTCGCCCTACCCCTCCAACTCACACCCCCTTACCAATTGAGGATGACAGCTCTGATCCCCCTCCCGGGTCTGTCATTGGGAAGGGCGGAGCCAGTCACTCCTCCCCCAAATCCCCTACAAGGCTGCCGCCCAGTCCAGGACAGCAGTCTAGAAACTCCTCTGCCTCCCCCATATGGAGAAGTCAGTGTTTCTTCGAAATCAGGGCCTATGTGCTCCAAAATAAAAAAAAGCCCTCATAATTGTAGTCATGCAATGGAATGCCGGTGGACACCAACCTTCCATTGCAGAATTGCCACACTTACGGGCCACACTGTGCCCGCTTGTGGCCTGTATCCAGGAGACAAAGTTCACCCCGTCTTCATCTATAGACTTAACAGGATTTACTGTGTATCATCTCATTCACACAGAAAACCAGATTGCTTCTGGTGGAACCACCATGTACACCGACTACAACACACTTCACAGACAAGTACATCTTAGAATAACCCTTCAGGCTATTGCTGTATGGGTCACCTTGCACAGACCAATCACGATCTGTTCAGTCTATATCCCTCCAAATTATCCCCTCA